ACGTGCCAGCAATAGCCTTGTTGGCCAGTCCCAAGTCACCATAAAAGTGCATGCCAGAGCGACCTGTAGCAAGGGGGAAGAGCAAGGGCAGCTTGGCAGAGCCCGAGACTAGAATACCCAGCTTCACAGGGTGGTGGCCTTGCTGGGGCCAGGCCACACACCTGCTGCAGGCTGTCTGTCAATAACCAATCAGCAGTAGTAAAGCTGCACACTTTGTCTCATGCTTTCGAGCTGGTGTTTGGACCGCCCGGGCTCACTGAATAGTGTACTTGCTACCACCCAACACAACACCCAGCCCTCAGCAGACAGCACCAGTTTGCTCATCAATGGGTCAGGCTTCATAGTTAGCAGCCTTGCTGCTGAGCTGCCTGGTGAACAAGGGGGTACCAGGGCAGGACCTGCTACTCAGGTTCTCAATGACCACCTGGCTGCCTCCAGGCACTGTGCCTCCCGGCTGACTCAGGGTGCAGCTAAGTGGGTTCTGAAAGATGCCACATTTTGGCAATATCTGTTGAAATGGTAAATGCACACACATTCTGACTCAGCTGAGTACATGTGAACAAATGCAGGCTACCGAGCTGGTACTGTGGCAGTATAGCAGCTTAAGCTGTCTGCCTGCTTGGCCTTTATTCCATATGGGCAACTGTTTGTATCTTGGCTACTCTACGTCTGATCCAGCTCCCTGCTTGTGACCTGGGAAAGCGGTGGAAGGTGGTCCTTGGGCCCCTGCGTCCACGTGGGAGACCCAGAAGTAGCTTCTGACTTTTCAGTCCTCACTGTTGTGACCATTTGGAGAGTGGACCAGCAGGCTGAAGATCTTTCCCTCTCTCTCTCTTTGTAACTGCCTTTCAAATAAAAAATACTTTTTTTGTTGTTTAAAGAAAGAAACGCAGTCTGCCTGCCACCCACAGGCATCATTATCTCCTGAGAGCAGGAGCTGGGAACAGCCTCAATTCCACTGAGAAGGGCAAGGGAAGGCCAGTCCCTCCCGCTAACGAAGCTCAGTGCCCCTTGCAAAGACAGGGACAGAGCGCTCCGGCAGCCTGTGGATGCTGAAGGCAGGGCGCCCAGCAACACAACAGTCTCCCTCTCCTTTAAAAACACGTGTCTGTCTGAGTAGAAAGGTAACCCTTTCTTCGTTTTCAGGGCAGGCATTGTTGGAACCTTGACTGATAATAGTGGGGGTGGCAGCCGCAGGCAGTGAGCCATTGTGTGTCCAACAGTCGTGGCCACTACAACTGCGATCATTAATTATGCTCATGACAGTTGCGAAACACTTAATGTTGCTGAACTAATGAAATCTGTTTATTTTTAAACAAAACAAAACAAAAAAAAAAATCAAGGCATAGACAGTTGAACCAGTTTCGTGATGATCTAAGAAGTGGAAAGAGCCGGGTGGGCTCTTCACGTGACTTCTCACACAAGTTTTCCCATCACAGCAGCTGCTGGGTACCTTCTGTCCCAAATACCGCCTCCTCCGCCGGGTTCCGTGACTGCGCCTCCGCCCAGGAGGCGCCCTCGTGGGAAGCCGCGGCTTGGCGGTGAGCCGACGACGGGAACCTGTCGCCGGGGCCCGCCCAGCCTCAGCCCCAACCCCGGGCACGTGGCGGCGTCCCGCGGGGGAGCCGGCTGATGAAATGCAGCCAGCGGCTCCAGGAGAAGCGCTCCCTCCGGGGCCCGAGACGAGCCTGGCGGGCGGCTCCTCCCGGTGGAGTGACGGCCGGGACGGGGGCGGACCCGCGAGGGCGGCGCGGCGCGGGCGGCGGGCGGGGCGCGGAGTGGCGGTACCGGGCGGCTGCGGCGCGGAGGGGCGCGGGGTCCCCCGACCTTCCGCGGCCGGGAGCGGCGGCTGCGGCGGCGCGGCCGGTGAGTGTGCGGCGGCCCGGGGCGCGCGCTCGAGGGCCCGCGATGGCGGGGTGGTGCGGCGCGGCTCCGGCCGCTGCTGGGCCTTCTGGGCGCGCCCGACTCGGCCTGTCTTGGGGCCCGGAGGGCCTGGGGTCGGCGGCGCGGGCAGCTTCCTGGCTTCTCCGGGTGCCTCAGCACCCCTTTCCCGCAGCACCCCTTTCCCACGCAGCTCCTGGAAGCCGCGGCGGGGAAAGGGCAGGGTTAACTTCTGGGGAGACGCTCCCCCGGGGCAGCCGAACCCAGCCAGGACTGGATAGAGACCCGGGCCAACCCCAGCTACCCCAGGCCTACAGGAGCCCCGTGTGGCAGATCTTGGCTGGGTTTCGCATTCTGGGTCTTACTTTTCTCATCTGTAAAATGGATATCCTGGACTCAGGGCTTTTCCAATTCTAAAACTTGTGCGACCTGCTCACGCATATTCTCTTATTGGGATCCCAGTTTAACAACCAGGACCGAACCTTTGAAATACCGAGTTTCTCTTTTCCTCTGTCGGTGATGAAGCATGCGGTTTTGAGGGGGGAGTCTGGGCACTGCAGAGACTGAGACTGAATTTGTGAACTTGTGCAAGAACTTGGTGCAAGATGGGTGCCTGGGGGGACTGGGTAGAGTGCAGGACTGGTCAAGGGAACTCAGAAGCCAGCGGTCTGTACCCACTGCCCCGAAGCGTTGGAACCTCCTGTTCTGTCTGCATCCTGCCATCTCTCTCGGACGGGTGCAGGGGCCCGGGGAGGGGTCTGGGGGCGTCGTCTGACTGTGAGGTGGGTGCACAAGCTCAGGGTGTGCAGCTCCAGGCACAGTCCTGGGCCTATCCTGACCCCTGGGCTGGATCCTGTTGGGCACTGTGTCTCCAGCACCCACAAGAAGCATTTGTTAATTATTTCTCAGTTCTTGTGTGTGTGGCACCCTCTCTCCCCTTCTCACTCCTCGAGATATTGATGCCCAGCAGAGAGGGGTGAGTGTGGCCTTCGGATTCTGTTTGAGTTGACGGTTGAGAAGGTACAGAACCTGGGTCCTGAGGTTTCTAGAGGGTGTCTGGAATAAATACATTGCCAGCCCTACACCCCTGGAGTCCCTGTTTGCTGGGGGTACTGAGTGCCACACCAGTATGGACTCCTTAGCACTCAGAACAGCCTAGATTTAGCTTCATTCACACAGGGTGACACTGAGGCAAAGAGCCATCAACTAACTAGTCCCGGGTCCCACAGGTAGGAAGTAACAGGACTGGGTAGGTTACTTGGAGCTGGCCACAGAGCAGTGTGTAGGTGAATGACAGGAGTCTGCTGGTCAGGACCTGTGGGTGGCTGGTGAGGCCAACGAGGGAGCTGGGATTTCTTCCCAAAGACCGTATTTGTCTGTGGGAGTTGGCAGTGAACTAGCGGGACCTTCTCTGCAGTCTGGAAGTGGACCCTTATGCTCCCAGGGGTGTACAGTCCCTGACTGCTCAGGGCTCCCCAAGGCACACAGAGACCATGCAGCACTTCTGGGTTGCAGGCTCCCAGCTCAGCACCCTCAGGCTCTTGGCCGGCCCATGGATGTATGGGTGGATCTGCTGGGTATGCCTAAGAAAGCGAACAAACAAGGCAAGTGGTTGTCAGGCACAGGGCAGATGGCCTTGTGACTATTTTTGTAGGGTTCAGGCCTCTTGTGGGTGCTAGTTTAGAGGAAGGAAGTAAGACCTTTAAGATTGACAGTAAATGCTCAGTGGGTTGAGTGCTTCAGTGAGCTGGGCCTTGGGCTGGCTGAGGAGGAGAAGGCCTTGGCCTTGACGGCCTTGATAATTGGACTTGGTTGCTTAACCAGGCATGGGCCTGGAAAATGTCTGCTTCCTGATCCACCGTGTTTTCTTTTTCTTTTTTTAAAGGTGATCGAAGGACAGGCTCAGACAGCCAGACCTGGGTCCAGAGGTACAAGCACATGGAAATTACAGGCTTGGAGTCTGGAGCCAGATGGTTTGGGTTCAGCTTGACGCTGCAGCCAGCCTTGGGCAAGGCACTTCATGTCTTTGATCCTTGATTTTCTCTCCTGTGAAATGGGACTCACGTGTTGAGGAAAGGGGCCTTTTTGGAGTGCCAAATCCTGGGTGTCGGGCTTGAGTTTCCATCTGTTAACACTTCCACAGAAGCTATGTGGAACATGCCTCCTCACCCCCATTTCCACATGGGGGGAGGGAGAATGGGGCTAAGTACTTGGGGTGCAGATGTCACAGGCCGTGTGGGCGGCCTAGCGGGGGAGTCCATCCCGGGTCTGTGGGCTATGAAGCCTTTGGTTCTGCATCGTGTTTTACTTTTCGGCCTCAGTCTGGTCCAAGGACAGGTGTGTGATCATTTTTAGATAAAGGCTCATCTTTATAAATAAATATATATATGTATGATAAAATAAATATATATATATTTGATTGGGAGAGAAACTTCCCAAAGCTTAAAGTGGGGCTAGTTCAAGAGTCTGCCAACTGCATGGTCACTCAGGCCTTCCCACTTAGTAACTCCCTTTCCTACTTTAAAAAAAAAAAACATTTTTTAAAAGGATTTATTGATTTATTTGAAAGGTAGCATGAAGAAGAGAGAGAGAGAGATTGAGAGAGGTCTTTCTTTCACTGGCTCACTCTCTGAGTGGCTGCAATGGCTGGAACTAGGTCAGACTGAAGCTGGGAGCTCAGAACTCATAGTGTCCTATGTGAGTGCCAGGGCCCAAGTACGTAGGCCATCTTCCATGATGCTCTCAGGCTCACTAGTAGGGTCCTGGACCTGAAGTGGAGCAGCCAGGGTTCGAACCAGAGCTCATATGGGATGCTGGCATTGCAGGCAGCATTATAAGCCCACAGCACCAGTATCCTCAATTTGAGAAATGCTGTACTGTCATTCTTGAGACTCCTCATCATTTTCATTTTGTACTGGGCACTGCCCATTATGCAGCCAGTCCTTCCTACAATCCCGAGAGAAGTAGAAACTGGTGAGGACAGGGGTGTCACCGTCTGAGGGGGCATTGGGCTAGTGGTGGAGGGTCCTGGGTGGCTCAGGATCAAGAGGATACAAAGGTGTGTGCCAACTGGAAGCTTCATGTCTTGCCTCACATTGTGAGCTGGAGTAGCTGCAGGGCTGCTGTGCGTGTCAGGAATTTGCTGCATGATGTTTCCTGATGAGGGAGAACATCATGCGGGTACACAAAGAGATCAAATATGCGGGTACTGCCAGAGCTGATGGAAATGGAGACTTGATTTTGTCCATGCAGGAAACTTCTGTTTTTTTTTTTTTTTGAAAGTGGCCAAGGGTGCTACTCTGCCTGTGCCTCCCTGGGACTTGGCCCTGGAGGCTTGTGGTGTTTCCTAGTTCATTGAGGGATAAGTTCCCAGGAGCTGTACTGCTCACTTCAACCATTTGACTTTTTCCCTTTGTAGATAACCGTCTGAGAACATTTCCATTGTAGCTCTGGCTTCTTAAAAGCACAAAACCGAATTGTTGACCCAGGCGCAACAATTGTGTCACATCTCCAGATAGCAAGCAGAAGGGTAGAGCAGTGTGCCTTGTTGCATTTGCTGTTGTAGGTGTCATCATTCATCCCTTCCCTATGGCAACTCCATGGGGAGGGTTCTTGGGCTTGAAGAGCTGAAGCTGTCTTAAGGTGCCTGTAGTTAGAGTGGCCAGCACAGAAACCCAGTCAATCTGACTTTGGCATTCATGTTCATGAACACAGCTCTTTTTCCTCCTCTGACTTTGTGTGGGAGACTTGGTTGTCTGAGTATCTGGGTATTTTTGTTCTTTGTGTTTGTCATTTTTCTTTTTCTTAAATTTGTATTCCCCACCATGTTTTTTTTTTTTTTTTCACTTGTGTTTTGCAATGTCTTATGGGAAGTGATTTGAGATCCTCCTTGCAACTAAGGCTATGTGTTGTGAAGGAACCTATCTGTGGCCTGGTTTCCTGGGGTATCTTCAGTAAAAGAATGGAAATCCCAGATGCTTGGATTTCCTGAGGACCCTTGTGACCTACACCACAGGGAAGTTCTCAGTGGAGGCCTGGGAGGTCTATGTAAAGATTCCCAGTGGCTCCGCTTGGGCTTTGGTGACTTGGCCTCAGGCAGCCCTGGGCAGCTCTGGTCCAGGCCTCAAGTTCCTTTCTGTGCTGTGTTCTGAAGGTCAGTGCTGCTGAGCTGGCTGCCCCAGGATGAACCTCAGCTGCAGGAAGGGGAAGTAGAAGTCCAGCTGGCTCTCTGCCATGGCCTGTGAACCACAGATGGACCCTGGGGGAACCACAGGTCCCCTGCCTACTTCTTCCCATGGCTGGAGCACTCTGCCCACAGGAAGCCCTCCTGGCTGGGGACAAGGTAAGTTCAGGACCTCTTGGCCCTCCTCCTCTACCGCATGCTGAGCTAGACGTATGTAGCATGATGGGGGTCAGGGCACAGAAATTCCTTCAAGTAGGGTGTATATCTGCGGGGCCCATTGCCAGGCCACTTTCTGTCATTTTCATCTGGTTCTCTTTAGCACCACCTGCTTAGTCAGTCGGAGCTACTATTGTGCTCTGCCTGGACCCCCATGGTAGCTTCCCATCGGGCCTTCTCCTCCCTCCATTCTACTCACAGCAGCCAGAGATCTTGCTGAGATGCACACCCAGCTGTGCCCCTTTCTGCTTCAGTGTTTTCTGCTAGGTGTAGCTTGGGGATGCAGCATTCCCCAGCATGCCACATCTGCCTGGTGGCTCCTGCTGCCTCACTCTTCTTGGCTCTTTGCCACTGATTCAACCTCAGGGCTTTTTGCAACTGCCGTTTTTTCTGCCTATCATGCTTTCCTCCGCCTCATTCTCCCTGCTTCATTTTTCATTTGTCCTTCAGAGCTCAGTTCCAGTAGCCCTGCCTTGAGGAATTGTCTTTGATGAGCCAGCCTCAGTCAGGACTCTGCTCTTTCTTCCGGCAGCACTTAGGGCAGTCTGTAAATATCTTCCTATATGGTAAATGCTGAATGTCCCTTTCCCTACAGGATGTCAGCGCCATGAGGGCTGGGGCTCAGTGTGATCTTTTCATGCCTGGCTCTGCAGAACCCAGCACTGAGCTGAGCCTTCATGCTCAGTAGGTGTTTTCTTGAGTGAATGAGTGAGTGACCAGGTGCAGGCAGGGAAAGCAGGGTCCTTAGTGGTGGGGGTCCATGGCATGCAGCTCCTTATGGGATCTGAATCTTCCTGGGCCCTCTTGTTCCTGTAAGGAGCAGTTTGCATCAATGCGAGTGCACACATGCAGCAGGAGAGCGGAGTGCAGGGCAGTCATTTTCTGCCAAAACTTTGAAGACCGGTTCCACCAATTGTTGGCAAGCCAGTTCTTGCCCCTTGGTAGGAAATCGCACCCCTCCCCCCAACACACACACACACACACACACACACACACACACCGGTAGTTTTTCTGTTTGGACTTTGAAGAACAGATGAAAACTAGCAGAGGCAAAAATTCAGCAGGTATTTTTGGTTGGAAATGCAGAGAGCCAATGGGGAACTGTCCCAGCATCCTGACGTCATTGCCTCAGCAAACGCTTCACTCAGCATGCAAAGAGCTAGGCTGGGGGAAGAATTCTGATTTTCCATGCTTCTAGTTTAAGTGCACGTGGCATCGTCGTTTTGTGCCCTGAAGTGCAGAGCTAGTCACAGGCCCATCCACATGACTGCTTGCATGGGGTATGCTGTCTTGTCATCTCACTTCTCTCATTTTCCTTGTTCCTGTTAATAGCAGGTGAGAGTCCTGGGATTTCCAGAGTTCAGTTTCCTTTGCCCTGCCTTTGCTTTGTCGCTACAGTTGAGGGCTCCTGGAGGACTAACCACAGTCTTGGCTGAGGCCCCAGCTCCGTGCCTGGCATCCAGGTCCTCTCCTAAGTATCCGCCTTTGTTTACTTTTCTCCCTACTTTTCTTCATTTGCTCCTTTTACAGTTTGATTTCCTAACTTTATTCTTTATGAAGCTCCCATAAATCCTTTCTGGCCATAACGTGGAGGTGGTTGGGTGGGGGGAGGGAGTGGAAGCCAAGCACGAGCAGGTGTGTGCTGCTTTGCTGCGATTTTGGAACCCTTCGTAGCTTGTTTCTGAGAGGTGACCACAGCAGCTGGCTCTTCGGTGGTCCAGGGGATCTGGTCGCCTGTGAGACACCAGGGAGGCTCCCTTGGGTGGGCCCTATTCCCAAGAGGCTGAGCTACAATTGGAACCCTAATGCTGTCTGGCTGGTGCTCTCACAGCCTTACCTCCTTGTCTCCGCGTTCCTCACCCCTCCCAGCAAACAAAATGAGAGTGAGAGTAAGAGCAGAGAGGGTAATGAGGTTCTTTGTTGGTAGGATGAAGAATTTCACAGAATCCTTACAATCATAGCTGATTCCCTAGGAAAATAACCCTACCAGGGCTGGGAAGCAGAGAGTCCTGCAGATAGTACCTGCTGTGTGTGAGGCACTGCACCCAGCCCAGGAAATTCAGGGGGTATCCGATCTGTGGGGAATGAAGACAGAGTTCCATCAAGCAATCGCCTACATGTGTGTTTGCCTCTTTGCTGAGTGGAAAGAAGAGCAGAGTGTAGGCAGTTGTGGCACAGGACTTGGTTTGTTAAGCATTTAGGCTGTTAAGGAGGGCTCCCTGTGAAAAGCTATCCAGGGATGTAGATAAGGATTTAACTGGGTGAAGCCTGGTGGAGGTGTTATAGGAAGTGGATATAGCACATGCAAAGGCCCTGGGGTGTGGGGTGAACCCCACATGTCCAAGGAGCAAAGGAGGATGGTGTGGTCCAGGGTGAGTCTGGCAGGAGGCCTGCTCTCCTGAGGGCTGAGAAAGTATGATAGGAAGGTTGGTTATTGTCCAGACACCAGGAAGCTGTTGAATGTTTTACTCAGGGACTGGCATCATCTGACTTGCGCACTGCTGCAGGAGATACGTATTGCAGGAGGAAGCGTAGGTTGGAGAAGCCAGCGTGGAGGCTGCTGAACAGGTGCAGGAGGAAGGTAAGAAGCCAAGAGGCACAGAGAGTAGATCTCCAGGTGACAGGGCTCTGTGATGGGTTACATGGGAAGTGGGAATGATGGACTGGGCAGGGCTCCCAGGCAGGTGGAGCGTGCCATGTGGCATTGCAAACTCAGGTGTTGCTGGGAGCTAGGCTGGAGTGGACAGGAGCTTTGGGTCAGCAGAGGACATCCTGACAGTTGTGTCCCTTCGGTCCCACCTCATCGCCTAAGCAGCAGCTACAGAGAACACAGCAGAATATTCAGCCTTCAGCAATGAATGACTCAAGACTGGGACCTGAGGTTCCAGGGCACAAAGACCCACCACCCCCCATGAAGCCTTCTGGCAGCTGACAGGTGGCCTGCAGGGCCCCACACGGCTTCCTTGGACCTGCAGGCAGGCGGGCTGCGCTTTGTGCTGCTGCTGTTTCTTCTTTGGGTTTTCAGCTCAGATCTGTCTTTCCATCTGGTCTTGTGGTTTGGAATCACCCAATTCTGAAGGATGGTTTTGATAGCTGTTGTAACCTAACTAGGTTGGTGTGTGCTTAGCATCTTAAAAATTTCTTTTCATTTAATTTGAAAGACAGGCAGAAAGAGATCTTCTGTCTGCTGGTTTATATCTCAAATGCCTGCAATAGTCAGGGATGGCCCAGGCTGAACCAGGAGACTGGAGCTCAGTCCTTGTCTCCTGCCAGCCAAGTACTTGAGCCAGCATCTGCTGCCTTCCTGGATGTGCGTTTGCAGGATGCTGGCTTGGAAGCAGAGCAGCTACAATGTGAACGAGACTCTAATGTCAGTTGTAGGCTCTTCAAGCATTGTCTCTGCCAAATATTTACCCCTGATGTGTGTTTCTTAAGGAGAATAAGGACTTAATTTGTATTTTTAAAGTGTTGAGCAAGGGGTTGGCATCGTGGCACACCAGGATGAGTTGCCACTTGTGTCACTGGCATTCTATCTAAGTACTGGGTTGGGTCCTAGATGTTCCACTTTCTGGCTAGTTCCCTGCTAATGTGCCTGGGAAAGTAGTGGAAGATGACTCTTGTGGTTGGACCCATGTGGGAGACACGGATGAAGCTCCTGGTTCCTGGCTCCCAGCTTTAACTTGTCCCTGTCTTGGCTGTTATGGCCATTTAGGTAGTAAATCGGAGGATGGAAGATTCTCTCCCTCTCTCTGTCATTCTCCCCTTCAAATAAATAAATGTTTAAAACATGTGTTGAATGAGCTGCAGAGGGTTGCCAGTAAGTCAGTGTATTAATTTTCTGTGGCTGCTGTAACACATTACCACTAAGCTAATGGCTTGAAATGACACACATTTATAACCTTACACTTCTGTAGGTGCTAAGTCTCATACTGTCCTCACCGAGCTGAAATCGGGACTCTTGGGGGGAGAAGCTGTTTATCTTTCCCAGCTCCTAGGTAGGAGCTGCCCCATTCCTTGGCTTTTGGCCCTGCTTCTTCTTCCTTCCCTCTCTCACCCCCTCCTCCTTCCCTTCTTCCTTCCCTCCCTTCCTTCCTTTCTTGCTCTCTTTTTCAAATTTGTCTATTTTAGTTAGAGAGGAAGATTTACTGAGAGGACGGGAAATAGAAAAACCTTCCATCCACTGACTCACTCGCCAAGTGGTCACAACAGCCAGAAATGAGCCAATCCGAAGCCAGGATTTAGGAGCTTCTTCTAGGTCTCCTGTGTGAGTGTAGGATCCCAATGACATGGGCCATCTTCTGTTGCTTTCCCAGGCCATAACCAGGGAGCTGAATCAGAAGTGGAAAAGCCAGAACATGAACCAGCTCCCATATGAGATGTCAGTGACTGCAGGTGGAAAATTAACCAATTGAGCTGTCATGGCCATTATGGCCCTCCTTCTACATGGTCAAAGCCCGTGATGTTTCCTTCACAGTCATTTCTCCTTCTCACTCCCCTTCTGCCCTCCATTCCTAAGGATCCCTGGAATCAGCTGGTCCCCATGCATCTAATGCAGGATCATCTCTTTTTAAGGCTAGTTGATTAACAATCTGAATATTATCTGCAGCCTTCTGTCCCCTGACCATGAGTTTTGGGGTTAGAGTATGCACATCAGCTTCCGATGACCAGTATCTCTCTCTTTTAGACTGTCAGGGAATTTAAGAGTTAATCAGTTGAGTTTCCTCCAATTCATGTCCATTGCATCATGCCTTCCATGTAGCTAGTTGATTATTCTCTGTTTAAATATCCTTTATGATAACAGACTTACCAACACTCATGCCTTGTGGGAACTGCTCTCACTCTTGGGAAATCCTTCCTTATTTGGCCTCACTTTGTATCCCAGGGGCCTCCTCACGTTAGCCTCAAATCTGCCTGCTGGGGGCTTCCTTGTTGAGTCTAGTCTTCCTCCCATGGGGGGTTGGAGGATGGCCACCATGTCCTTCCTTGTGACAAGGTTCTCTTGGCTAGGGAGGTGATGCCATCAGGCCCTGGGTTCTCCAGAGTGACTCACAGTCAGCCAGGTAAAGCCCTTGGTCTACTTTCAGAGCTCCACAATGGCCAGGTTCTCACAGTTGTGCGTATCGACAATACCTGTGCACCCATCTCCTTCGATCTGGGAGCCGCAGAGGAACAACTGCAGACCTGGGGCATTCACGTAAGTACTCATCTCATTGAGTCCTGTTACTTTCTTCATCCATGCGTCTATACCCCGGCCTATCTGTCTGTCCACCTAGCCAACAATCTGTTCATCCATCCACCCTCCTAACCAGCCGTCCATATACTTACTCATCTACCCACCCATCCATTCATCCTTCCAGTTGTCTGTTTGCCTGGTTATTCCCAAAATAGTTATGAGGCACTCTGTGTTAGCTGTGGTCTACAAGGAAAAACTATTACAACTTTCCTTATGCCCACTTGGTTCATTTAACAAATGTGTGTTTCAAGGCACCTGCCCCAGACCATACACTCAGCTGGCTCAACATGATATAAGTGAACAGGACCCAGCACCTGTGCTCATGCTGTTCACCAAACCCAGTGAGGGGATGGGCGTGCTTTGGATAAGTCAGAACAGCATGACTTAAATAAGGCAGGAATGAATATGCCAGGCCTTGAAGACATTCCCAGGGGTATCAACTTGCCTGGCAGGGGCAGCAGATGGTAGTTTTGAAAGCTAAATTGGAGTACACAAGAGGAGGGGTATTTTAGGAGAGGGGATTGTGTCTGTGAAGGAAAATGCACATGTATTTGTTAAATGATGAACAAGTGACTCAAGGCTTTGTTTCACACAATCCAAGATCTGTATACAGATCCAATTTTTGCTGAGTCTGAGTGTGTGTCTGACTGCACAGGTGACATAATCCTTCGGAGCTGCTGTTTTATCATTTGTAAATAAGGACAATATTACTTCTGTTTAGGGAGGGTTTGTTAGGATGAAATTAAATCATACTTGAGCACTTGTCTGGCCTATGGCATATATTAAATGCAAGAAAAATGAGCAGCTGTTGATGTTGTTAGGAAGCACACTACATATGATCTTTTTTTAAGTTTTATTTATTTGTTTTAATTGTTATTAACATTGTATTATGTGATACAGTTTTATAGGCACTGGGATTCCCCCCACCCCTCCCACAACCCTTCCCCCATATACATGTGATTTACTCTCTCTTCCCAAAGCCCCCACACCTCAGGCCTTCCCTGTGTAACCTGGGGGCAGTAACAAAGGATGAGGAAGATGCATCACTAATGTTATCCTGAAGATTTTAGACTTTATGCCTTTAAGACTGTGTTGCAGTATTGTGTAGATCAACATTTTGTCACCACGAAGGGCAAACTTCCCCAACTGCAGTCCTGATTCCATGTTGGCACAATTTGGTTTATTGGTCCTTGTTTCTTTCAGTCTTTGTACAGAAGAACATCTTTTTTTTTTTTTTTCTTGTTAAAGATTTCTTGTTTGTTCACTTGAAAGGCAGAGTAACGGAGACTGTCTATCCATTGGTTCCCTCCCTAAATGACTGCAGGGGCTGGGGCTGGAGCTGGACCAGGTTGAAACTGGGATCCAGGAACTCCATCTGGGTCTCTCACATGGGCTGCAGGGGCCTGAGCACTTGGGCCATCTCCTTTGTGAGGTGTATTAGCAGGGAACTAGATCAGCAGCACAGCAGCCAGGGCTGGCACTCTGATACAGGATGTTGGCCAAGTAGCTTACCCCCTTGTGCCACAATGCTGACTTTAAGGACATCTTTTATTTTATTTAAGATTTTTGTTTGTTTGTTTGTGAGGCAGAGCTATAGAGGTGGAGGCATAGGGAGAGGAAGAGAAAAGAAGAGCGGAATAGGTAAAGAGAGAGAGAGAGAAACTCTTCCTCCCACTAGGTTCACTTCCCAAATGTGTCAACAGCGAGGGTGCACCTGAAGCTTCTTTTGGGTCTCCCATGTATCTTGCAAGAGCACACGCTCTGGCCATTTTTTGTTGCTCTCCCAGGTGCATTAGTAGGGAGCTGGATTGGAAGAGGATCAGCTGGAATTCAAACCAGCTCTCATCTGGGATGTGTGCACTGCTGGTGGCAACATAATTTGCTAAGTCACTGTACTGGTCCTGAATATCTTTCTTAAATGTGTGTCTTCAGATTGGCTTTTCCTACTGGTGCACAGTTTATATGTTTTTCTGCCATGTCCCTAAATATATTTTTTTAATGCTTAAGTCCTGTTTCCTTAGGTCTACTCTCATAGGGCCTTTTATGCCTACAGTTTTCCTTGGGCAGGAAGTCGCAGGTGTTTAGTACTTGGGTTTGATGACAGTCACAGCACAGGGTGCAGCTCCTAGCTTGGGGAGGGGCTTTATTAGTTGATATATGGTCCCTATGAACAGATGGTGACTGGTAGCACTTGCGTACCTAGTGGTCACCACTGGGCTGGCATCATGCCAAGCCCTGCTTGTGTATTATCTTGTTTGCTGTGCACCCCAGCCCTACCAGATGGGTATTCCTAACTTTATAGAGGAGGAAGTGAAGGCTCAGAGAAGTTGGAGACCTCACATGTTTTTGGGGAGGGCTACAGGGTTGGGCCCAGAGCTGCCTCTGCCTTTACCATTGACCTGTTCTGGGTTTGCTGTGAGGTGTGGAGTTGCAGACTGTGCCAGTACCTGTGCAGGATGTCCTCCTGGATTGCCAGCAGCTGGGCTATCTCCCCAGGGGCGCCACCCCTCCTTCTGCTAAACCTGAGAATTGCAGCCACCCAGTGTTTTCTAGCTCTTTCTGCCCTTTGGGGTGACCTGGAATGTGATAGTCACTTGCACTGGAAACCAACCTGTTTGCTGGGAGAAAATAAGGTGGTGTGCTTTTGCTGTAGCTTATCTCTTTCCTGTGGGTGCCTGAGCAGGTCCCGGCTGACCAGTACAGGAGCTTGGCTGAGAGTGCGCTTTTGGAACCCCAGGTGCGAAGATACATCATCTACAACTCGAGGCCTGTGCGGCTGGCCTTTGCCGTGGTGAGTGGAATAACTCTGTCCTGCTCCTGTGGCAGTGCTGGGACACTCAGCATCAGGTCCTAAGGAAGATTGGGAAGTTGGGACCTGATGACTCGGCTGCGTGGGGAAGAGCAAGGCCACAAGGGCCTGGACTTGATCTCAGAGGAAGTTAGAGGGAGGGGCTGGTAACCGGGTCTCCACATGTAGTAAGGTTTATTCTGAGCAGAGCTCAGGCTGTGGATTTGCAGACCCATCTGGGGTCTGGGCTTTGTGTCTGGCCCTGGCCAAGATTTTTCTGCAATCTGGGATTTGTTTTCTTTTCCTGTTCAACAGAAGAACCCATTTTAGCATTTTAGCTCCAATCAGTTGTATGTATCAATGCACTTATGCAAACATGCATATACCTACATATATACATAGATGAACACACATAGCAGAGGCGGAATTTGAACCCATTCAGCATGTGTGCTCTCAGCCATAGAGAACAGCTCTCAGCTGTTCTCAGTGTGTTAATGGTAAGATAGTGCACCTGCCTTCCACACTGCCAGAGAGAAGGGGAAGGGTTGGGAACCAGCATTTAATTTCCTAACTCTGAATCACCCCTGCAAAGGTGGCTTTTTATCGCCATTTCACAAATGAGGAAACTGAGGTTTAGAGAGGGGTTCTGGTTTTCCCAAGGCTCCATAGTGATCTAAGGATCCGTGTGGGGCTTGTGTCTAAAGTTTATCTTGCTCCAGAGCTCCAGTTTCCTTTACAGTCAAGCTAGGCAAAGCTCAGGAGTGGCTAGGGACCCCTTTCTTTATAGACATGGAGTAGGAGGTCATCCCACAATCCAGGTGTTGCATGAGCCTCCTACAGGCCATGGGGACCTCTTTGAGTCCAGCAAAGGTGTAGAGATTTCCCCAGGGTGATAACACTGCAAATGGAGCTCATGTGTTTGTGACCTGGGGTACCTGATCATGCTCTCTTCCTGGATTCTGGCAGGTTTTCTATGTGGTGGTATGGGCCAACATCTACTCTACCAGCCAGATGTTTGCCCTTGGCAGCCACTGGGCAGGTGTGCTTCTCGTGACCCTGGCCGCCATGAGCCTGACCCTGACCCTCATGTTTGTCTTCGAGAGACACCAGAGAAAGGTGAGCTTGCTACTCCTGTCATGGTTCCAGCAGGAGGTCGTCAGGGGCCCAAGAACCTCATGTCAGAGCCTTCACTTTTTTTCTGCCTCAGATAATTTCTCCAGCCACGACAGTGAACACTAACCCATATGCCCAATGACTGAAAGGAATCGAATCACACGCGTGATTACATTCGCTGTTTGCTACCTAATCCTTGTGGATTGTTTTTCTGAGAGCAGGCTGTGTGTTGGGGGAGTCTGGAAGGAAGACACTGGTGACCAATATCCTGGGAGTAGTTTAGTTAACTGAATCTTTTCACATACCCCACATCCCTGGGTGTGTGTCAGTGATATGCCCTGGACCTGAGCAAGGGAAGGTTGGAGGCGTCCTCCTGGGATGCTGCTGTGGTATCTTAGCAATAGCTATGCCTCATCAAGTCCCAGCCCCACCCCTGGAGGCAGAGCAAGTGTACTCAGAGTCGAGGTAACTTGCTCTGAATCCCACGGTAAATGGCAGAGCCAGGTTTCAAACTCGAGTCCTCTTGATTCCTGACCATCCTCAGAAAGGAAGTGGATGCAGGCTGAGCCCTCCTAATCTGAAAACCTGTGCTTCATGTTCCATAACTTTGAAAGCACAGATGTGATGCCCTAGGTGGAATGTTCTACACTTGACTTTAGGGGGCTGACTGTTCTCAATCAAATGCAGACTTCACTGACCGAATATATCAGGCTGCCTTCAGATTAGAGGTACCAGGCATATTTGAGATGTAAAGAAGTTTTGCGTTCAAAGATTTGGAACATGTCCTCCAAGATATCTCATGATTTATATGCAAATATTACAAAATCTGAAAACATCTGAAAGGGGAAGCGCTTCTGACCACAAGCACGGTGGACAAAGGCTGCTCTGCCTGTCCCTCCTGGCGGATGTGCAGTTCACTCATGGGGTTCTATTTCTTCAGCGACTCTGTTTTGCTACATTCTGGCCACTTCCTAGGTTGTAGACCTTTGATGCTTTGCACATTAATTCATTAAACTCCCTGTCAGCTGTCTGGGCAGAGGCTGTTCTACTCATTTCACAGATGGGAAAGCTGAGGCTCAGAAAGGCTCAAGGAAGTAGGTCAAGGCCATGCTGCTACTAAATGGCAGAGCTGGAATTCCAGACCAGGATGCTCAGGTTCCATCCTGTGTTCTTAGGCCCTCCTGCAGTATGGGCGGTCTCCTGCTGGCGTACCAAATTGCATAAACTGGATTTGTGAAAGCAGTTCATCTTTTTAAGCTGGGCATGGTCTTCAGGGACTCAAGTCGAGGTGACAGCCACACTGCATTCCATCCAAAGGCATTTCCTTGCCATTTCCCACTCTTGAAGGCCATGTGTATTCCTTGGCTCATGCCTCCCCCTACTGCATCTGCAAGGTGAGCAGTGGACAGGCTGGCTCTCTCTCGTGTCCCCTTCTCAGTCTCTCTGGCCTGCTTCCTCTGCTGTGAAGGATGCTATGATGACTGTTTAGCTTCCTTTTGTCAATGGCACAGTCACATGTTCTAGGCAAGAGGGTGCAGCCATCTTTAGGGTACTGTTGTGTTGCATGCCACACCAGCACTATTTTACCAGTTCCTTGGAAGTCCCTGCCCATTCACCCTGCAGCCCTGCTCAGAGCTGAGCTCTGAGATCCTCAGCACAGAGGTACCCTGGCCTGCTCACAAGGGAAGGGCAGGTTATTGGGTGATGAACTCCATATGATGCCTGTGTTCATGGGGATAGACAGGAATTTTATGGTTTAATCATTCTGTAAAGGTGACAAAACTAATGCCATTCCTGGACTTTCTGGATGCTTTCATGGCCCTTGTGATTGGCTATAAAAACATAAAATTGAGCTAGTTGCTACTGCCACAAGACGCTTTTTTTGGGGAGAGGAGAGAGCAAAGTGATCTGATCTACCAGAGGCAAGCATAACAATCTGGCTCCTGGCAGGTGCTTCGAGGATGTGGCATCTTTCACACAGTCCACCCTGCTTAGCTGTTCTGCTTCCCACTTCCACTCCCCCCACTTTTTTTTTTTAATTGTGCTGGTATTTCTGAAGCCCTGGGAGTACCAGATAAAGTGCTGGGCACAGGTCATGGAGAGGACCATCTTGAGGTCTGTGCTCATAGATGCAGCATGGAGGCCCCAGGTCACTGCAGTCACTGTGTGCTCATTTGTAAACTCTGCCAGGATCTGTTCCTTCCTAATACTGACTACCATTTAGGAAGCATTTACTCAGTGCTTGAGGCCTGATGTCTGCACCCAACAGCAACTTCCTAAGTGGGCAGGGTATTCCTGCCACTTCCTAGCTGCAGTAACTCCTTAGGGCCTTGTATGCTGTGATTCCCAGAGACCCATCCCTAGTACAGTTAGGCACTGTACTAGGCACTATGCATAGGTCCTATGCTGACCAAGCAGGTGCACCCACCTTTCTATTCCCAATGTCTATCACAGCTCTGTGTACCCTGACTGTGTCCAAAACCCCAAGTTAAGAGCTTCACATACAATTTCAACAAACTGTCATCACATTCCTAGGAGGCCAGTACACTCTATTCTACAAGTGAAGGCAATGGGGTTCTTGGGTAGGACATACCTTGTCCAGAGCCACACAGTCTGGAGGTGCACCCAGGGCTTCCTGACACTAGAACTGACTCACCTTTTACAGGAGAGGCTGTAGAGGAGACCTTAGGGCGAGGATTGTCTCATGGGGTCTTGGAGTGGGACGGTGTGTGTGACCATTACCCAGAGCCTGGCAGATCCCTGGCAACCCGAAATTCCTGCTAGCGGCGGACACTTGTCTTACAGGCCAACACCAACACTGACCTAAGGCTGGCAGCCGCCAATGGAGTCCTGCTGAGACACCGGGTGCTACTGGGGGTGACGGACACAGTAGAAGGATGCCAGAGTGTGATTCAGGTATGGTTTCTGGGATGGTCTCTGGGGTGGCTCACCTTGAGACTGGGCTAATTGCAAGAGGAAGCCTCATGCTCGTTCAGCCTGCACAGCCTGTCTTGGAGTCTGCTGATGGCTCTGATTTGCTCCTGCTCCATGCTGGGCCCTGTGGTCAGGGAAGATGCTGAGCGGCCCTCAAGGTCCCTGTCTGCCAGCGCTCAGGGGCTGCAGAGAGCAGTGGTGCACAGGCACACAGCTACATCAGCCTCCTGGGCTCTGCAGCAAGGGGATGGCTCTGGCAAGGCTGGGAGGCAACGAGGCAGGGGGCTGCCAGCAACTGGCCTTGTAGGTGGAGATAAGGCTCGAGCGTGGGATCAGCTCTTGCAGGCCTTGTTTGACTGGCTTCATCGTTGTCTTTGAATGTGGTGGGGAGATCTTAAAGTGACCCATACAAGGTTACTTAGTGGTGCGGACACAGCTGGGGCTAAAAGCCCTGGGTTTCCTGAGCCAGGCTGGCCATGGCTCTGGTCGTTTTGCATCTTCCCAGTAGGGATGCAGAATCTCTTGGACACCATGTCCATGTTCTTGCCACTCATGGCCCGAGCTCAGGGGACCTGGAGGAAGCACCATATCCATGTGCCTTGCACATCCTGTAAGAGTTTGCTGAGAGCCTACAGCTAAGTGTTTTAATTTCTGAAGCAGTATTGTGGGATGAGGTATTACAATGTCTAGGATGTCCTTTAGATTCACTAGGCAGGGGAGAGTGAGTGTGGGGGGTTGGCGATGCGTGAGGGTACAGAGGACACCAGAGTGGCTGTGTTTGATTATTGATTAAAGGAGAACAGGAGCTTGATGCATCTTATTTTGTGCATGTTTAGAAATATAGTAAAAAGCTTTTTTTTTCCCAACACTGTGAACCATAGTGGGTTAAGCTACTACTTGTGTTGGCATCCTGTATTGAATGGAATGTTGTCCCAGTTGTCCCGTTTCGGATAAAGCTTCTTAGTTGAGAGCCTGACAAATCAGCTTGTGGATGATGGCCCATCATGGGGCCCCTGGCACTCCTGTGGGACACCTCGATGCAGTTCCTGGCTTCTGGTTATAGCCTGGCCCAGACTAGTCTGTTGCAGCCATCTTGGGAATGAATCAACTGTTGGAAGAGCTTTGTTTGTTTCTCTGTTTCTTCCTTTTTATCACTCTGCCTTTCAAATAAACAAATAAAATACATCTTTACCAACATCTACTGAAAAATATCATCTTGAAGATAAGACAGTGGGGAGACTGGTAGGCAAGAGGGATGTGACCTTAGTGTGTTGGACCTGTCACTGGAAGGAGGGAGAGGGTCTGTGGTTGGAGTTGTGAGACAAGGACCACCACAACATTGATTGATGATGAGGGGGAGATGTAACTCTGACAGATGTCATGTAATGAGTGAACATGAAGTTCATCCCTGTGAAGTTGAACTTGACCTTCTAGGAACTGTTGAGGTTGAAGCCGAAAGAGAGGTGGGGTTGGAATGAGGGTTTCTTACCCTACTGTTTGTAGAACTTAATAGTTGATAATCTCAGAGCTGGCTAGGGTGTGGGATTGGCCTGGTTGCAGGGTCTGATTCCACATAGAAAGGTGCCTCAGCACTGACGATGGAGGTGGCAGCCCTGGCCGTCCACATGGTGCCAGGAGGATTTGGAGTCTGACTGCCATGCTCAGCGACCTGTGGGAGTTGGGGCGAATGCTGCTGGGGTCTGGGCTGGGCATTTTCTAAGTTTGCACACGGAGCCCTTTTCCCAGCTGCTACCCTAGAGCCATGTGATCACATGTGAGGCTCTGCGAAAGAACAGGGCGGCACAAATGTCTGCCAGCAACAGGATAAGCTGGGTACTCTCTAGACGGGTGAGCTGCAGGAGGGGGACCGTTCAAGGCTGAGCTGGCATTGAGCCACAGCAGTCACAGCAGCCTCTCCCCACAGCTCTGGTTCATCTATTTTGACCTAGAGGACTGCACGCAGTTTCTGTCTGACCATGTTCGGGAGATGAAGATCAGCCAAGAGGTAAGATGTCTTCACTGAGACTCTTGCTGTGACAGACCCAGGGGCTGTACTGTGCAGGTGGCCTCATCTCAGCATTGCGAAGATGTCTCCAGAGATCCTTGAGAGGAAGGATGCTCTGGTGCACCCTGTGGGTGCTGTTGTCCAGGGCATCTTGACTGTTTCCCTGCCTATTGTTTTAATTAATCACACCTGCATCTCATTTGGTGGATGATTATTTCTTTATAACATGGTGGGGAGTGTCTAGCCTGACAGCTGTATAAGGCCCATTAAATCATCTGGTCTGGCGCTGCCAGGGCAACCACAGGCAGGAGTCAGAATTCAGTAGATCCGAAACAGGCTTATGTTTAAACCGATCATTCTGTTTGGCCCATGAATAAGGTTATGAATACTCTTGTGGGGGAACAAAGGGGTCGTGCCCCGATGATGACAATAGTAATAATAAATTCTGGCAGATCCAAACGTGTCATGGATTTAGACACCTGTCCGTTGTTCAGTTTCTCTCCTCCCATTTCTTCAGAAGATCAGAGGGATCCTGTTCAGATTCTACGGGGGGAGACAGGTTCTGGTGAGACCCGCTGCCACCTGCCATCATAGGCCTGGTTGATGATGCTCATCTTCAGGCCAGGCCTCTTGGCTGCAGGTTGCCTAGGCTCTCACCCTTGCTCAGCCTTCCCTGGACCTGAAAGTGCTTGCAGCCAGGATTGCAGTCTTACCCTGGTCCTGCCTCTTTAGTGCCTAGTGACCTTGAAGCCTCAATTTGTTCATCTGCAGCCTACGATTAGAGATACCCACATCCCAGGCTGCTTTGAAACCAGAGAAACCCATGGAGGGAATGGCAGTCCAGAGGGACCATGGCCTTGTGGGGCAGGACGTGCTCTCATGTCCATGGTTCAGCTCACTGTGCTGCTGAGGTCTGCATCTGAGTCTGTCCTGGGATCCGTCCCCTGCTGGGCCAGCAGCTTGGGGAGGGAGAGCCTCCCAGACCCCACCAGGCTGGTTATGGACTGGACACACAGGGCACACTCATGCTCCACTTTGTCTCCTTCACAGTCTTTGCTGAGAAGCAGACTGAGCCAGTTATGCGTCGTCCTGGAGACTGGGGTGAGCCCCACCGCATCAGTGACAGCGGAGGGGCCCACGGACCTGGAGGACGCCCCTCTCCTGCCCAGCAGTGCTCGTCCTCGGGAGAGAGCACTTATGCAGACTGAACTTCACCAGCTGGTTCCTGAGGCTGAGCCAGAGGTAAGGACAGCACGGCCATCACGGCACACCCTACATGGATTCCGGGGTCCCGACACTGCCTGTTGTTGCCGCTTCCTGGGAACCTGGCTTCTTGCAGCTGATGGAGACCATTTGGGTGTTCTAGCCAAAGCCACTTTGTGCCTGTGTCTTTAACCCCAGCACTTTCTAATAAGTATAGGAATCATTCTGTACTTATTATGATTTTATTTTGGTTGTACTTTTTAATGTCTTGGATATGATTTAAAACATTTTAAAATTTAGTATTGATTTGAGGTGGAGTTGGTGGAGTGGGAGAATGAGTGAGTGCACATTTCCTCCTATCTATTCCTTCAGTCCAAAGTTCCTACAACAGCCAGAACTGGGCAGGCTGGAGCCAGGAGCCAGGAACCCAGTCCAGGTCTACCATGTGGGAGGCAGGGCTCATGTCTTGAGCTGCCCAGCTACCTCCCAGGGTGTGCATCAGCAGGAAGCTAGGACTGGGAGCAAAGCCAGGACTTGAACCCAAACTTTCTGATGTGAGGTATAGGCAGCTTTTAAACTCCTAGGCCAAATATCACCCCAGATATGGTTTTTGATATTTGCATTGGATGGGTAAAAGCATTTTGGTGGACTCTGGCTTTGTTAATGGTGAATATACTGATAAATACTTGGGTCTTGACTAGTCAATCAGTTTTGTCTATTCGTTTATCCCAGCATGCATGCATGCATCTATCCATCCATCTGCTGCATTTACAGCTAGCAGTCTGAATGTTTTGTACATGCCTGTTGAATTTTTATTCCTCCAGCAGTAGAGGTCTGCTGAGTCTGGCCACCCCAGCTCTCTGTCCAGTATGGCTAAATGTTGGGAGAACAGAAATCTGAAACTATGGTTTGTGGCTTACATTCGCTGCTCACCCCGAGGACACCCTCACTGTGGGGAGAAAGGCAGTGAGAGGTGACCACCATGATGTCTGCGGCTTCAGCGGAACTCTGGCTTTGCTCTTTAGCCAAGAGCGTTGGGGCGTCAAGATCCGGAGTCGCTCATACCTTCTTCTTCCTTCTGGTAGGAAATGGGAGCCCTGCCGATAGCACTCTTCAAAAGGGAAGATGATAAATGTAGTAAATCCTACCAGAATCCCATTGGCTTTTTTTTTTTAAATAAGATCATGTGCTTACAGTGGCATGCATGTCTGGGTTTATGTGCAATAATCCATTAAATATAAATCTTTCAAATAATTTTTTTCAGATTTACTCAGACCAATCACAGTGCAATTTGCTGTCATGAATATTTGGTGTATGCGCACTCAGGTTTTGAAAGTAGTTGCCCCTTGTAGTTTCAACAGGAAAGTACAAGCTTCTGGGTCCCAGGGTGGGTCAGCCCCTCCTGTTTGACCAGGAGCCTGTCAGGTGTACGGTGCTGGGGCATGCCCTCTCTACTCTGCGTTGCTTTCTTTCTTCTTTGGTGGGTGAAATGAGCTATACTTTACAGCTGCATTTGTTATAAAGTGGACACGAGAACTGTGGAATTGCATAAGGGATTCCCTCATTTCCCTATAATCCTTCCAGCTGGATAAATAGAACTTGAGAGAGAAATGTGTTCAGAACATATGTTCCCTCTGATTTTTAACATTATTTTTTACATTATAATCTGCCATTGTGATAAAATTTCCCATCTCGGGTTGGGTGTTTGGTGCAGTGGTTAAGATGGTTCCTGCCGCCTGCCTGGGAGGCCGGGCCGAGTTCAGGGCTCTTGGCTTTGACTTTGTTTAGACTCAGCTATTATGGGCATTTGGGATGTGAACCAAAGGATGAAAGATTTCTCTGTGACCCTGCCTTTTGGCCTCTCTTTCTTCTCTGCTTTTCAAATAGTTAGAAGTGAATAAAGAAAGGACTTAAGTTACCATGATGGCCACTTTAGAGCATGTTGTTTCATGGCCTCTGATGGTACAACCCATCACCACCTGCTTCACTCTGTCTCTCCAGTACAGCTCCCCCTCATTGGACGAAGCTCCCCCTGCCCCTCCTCTCCACTCTGCTTTGTGTTTGATTCTGTCACCCTGGGTGCTGCCTATTGATGACAGATCATCTAGCAGCTGTCTTTTTGGGATAAATCCAATTTTTAAAAAAGATGTATTTATTTGAAAATCAGTTAAAGAGAGGGAGAGATAGAGAGGGACAGGGTGATTATCTATCTGGTGGTTAATTTACCAACTGGGCACAATGGCCGAAACCAGGAGCTTCATCTGAGTCTCCCATGTGGGTAGCTGGTACCAAACACTTGGACCATCTTGGGCTGCTCGACATGGGCCAATACCAGGGGACTGGATTGGAAACAGAGCAGCTGGGGCTGCTGGTATTGCAGGCGGTTGGCCTTACCTGCTATACCATAATACCAGGCCCCTCGATCTAGTTTAACAAGGGCTCCTTTAATATATAGGAGTGCTTGTTTAATGGTATCCACTGGGTTCCTTGTGTAGCTTAATGGGAGTATTTCCTTCTTCTCTCCACATTTTCTTCCTGCTTACCACATGTACCTTACTGATATATGGACACTGGAATGTGGAGATGTAGGCAGGTGCAATTGTCGCTTTTGCTGGTGCTCTAAGGTTGCATATCTCTGTCATGCATATCATTATTACATCCAGCAGTTGCTCACCCACAATGGGGATGGGAACGCTGAGATCTCAAGCAGCCCAACCCCCGTGAGTCATAGGGCTGGGGTTCTGGGGTTCCGGCCAGCTTGGCCTGGCCTGGCCCACTAGTTCCCCATGAGCCCTGTTCTGGGTTAAGGTGCAGGAGGATGGCATAGTTGTCTCTGCATGTCTAAGCTCTGCCTGCTCCTCTCCAGGTGCAGCCTCATGGCCCTGACTTTGCCTCCCTGCCTCTTCTAGGAAATGGCCCAGCAGCTGCTGGCAGTGTTTGGCGGCTACTACACCCGGCTTCTGGTGACCTGTCAGCTCCCCCAGACCGTGGGCACACGGCACATGGACTCTCCAAAGGTCCCCTGTCCCTGCCAGCTCATAGAAGCTCATGTCCTCGGCGCTGGCTGCTGCCCGTTCCTGGCCAGGTGACCTAGGGTGAAGATAACTTGTTTTCCTCTAAGAAATGGCAAGCCCCAGGCACGGAGAGACACGTCTGGGGCCCTACAGACATGTCTCTAACCTTCGTAGAAGCTGGTGGCTGCTGGGCTGGTCCCACTCCAAGCTACCCTAGGCTGTGTAGGACCAGGGACTTGGATGGGAGGGCCAGTGTCCCACCCCTCTCATAGAGAGCCCAGAGACCTGGACATGAGCAGACTGGGCCAGTCATGTGTCCAGCACTCAGTCTCAGGGGATGATTGGATTCCCAGCATCTGCACAACAGGTGGGGAAACTGAGGCTCAAGGAGGACGGTACTCTATGGCGATGTCCCTGGACATCTCCGTTTTAAGGCTTTCTAGTCCAAAGAAGAAAATAAGTGCATTCTCAGAAGTTCCTCCACTTTCAAGTTCTTCTTCCCCACATCACCTGCTAGCCACAGGCCACAAGAGACAGAAACGGAAGGGACCACGAGCGATGGGCTGTTGATGGGAGTGCTTGGAGCAGACTGGTCCTGTTTCACTTGACTGATTTTGTCACAGGCACGCAGCCCATGGTCATGGTTTCTGTTGCAGCTGGAGGGTGACATTCGTGTTTCCTAACACTAACATTGTCCTGGAGTGAATGTGATGAGCGCTCAAGATCCAGAGGCCAGCTGGATGACCCAGAGATGCACAGGCCCAAGTGCAAATGCACTAGCCTGGTACCCTCACCTGTGGTTTTGGCCTCGTCTCCTACAAACCCCCTCAGGAGTTGACACTCTTTCCTGAACTGACATATGAAGTTTCATTAAAAACCTTGGAGAACATGGAAGTAAAAGATAAGTTTATTTTGGTGCAAAAATGTTCAAAATCTGTGTATCTGAGGGATCTTCAAAAGGCTCGTGGAGATGTGTATGATGAAAACACTGTGCATGAGATTTAAATTTTTTTGTTTGCACTGGAATATATTTACAGTTTTATTCCATTTTCCCCAAGATCTTTTGGAAGCAGCTGGTTTATCTTCTAACTGTTGGACTCCTATTCATGTCTCAGAACCCCATTTTCTATGCTCCTCCTCTGGAAGCCCTTCCAGTGCAGGCAGCCCTGTTTATTTTCTGCCCCCTTTTAATTCTTGACAAAGCTGCTGCCTGTGCTCATGTTTTATGTTGTCAATCCTGCTTTCCTGAGCATGTGCTTATTTTTCTAGCTAGATTAGAAATTCCTCAAGGACAAAGACTTCATTTTATGCTTTTCATGCATGACTGGGACCTGCTAAAGGGGAAAAAAAGTCCTGTGGATTGATTGTTTTGCCGTCTCCATAGCAGCCCTTGCAGCTTGTCCTCCAAACTCAGTGGAATGGGGAGATTGGTATGGACTTGGTTCTGGGCCCAATCTGCCACTTCTTGACCAGTAGCTTGCTTTGGCTGGTCCTCAGTTACTCATCCTTTTGCTGGGTGGATTGCATGATTCTTAAGGGTCCTTCCAGGAACCAGGTCCTGGCATTACTAGCTTATCCTGCTCTCTCCCGGTCCTTAGCCAGTTATGCTTTAACTAGACACAGAAAGGTTTCTTAGCTCCCCCTGGCTCCAGTGGCCTGGGCCTGATAACACTCCTGGGCAGAAGTTTGGCCTGGCTTGCAGAAGGCCTGAATTTTTATCCCAGATCTACTACAACCTCTTAGCTGTGTCACCTTGGCTGAGCCACTTTTATAACATGAATCTGGTGAACTTGGATTGTAACCACGAGGGTGACTTGCCAACAGAGCCAATTATTCACTTTCTCCGAGGCAGAGAAGGGCGACCCATGTATGGATCAGCTGCCTTGGAAGGGATTGTTTCAGGTGTCTGTCTTCAGCCAAGTCCAAGGACAGGTTTGCTGAGCGAAGTTATTCACAAGGTGATCACCAGCATTGTGAACTGGCCCAGAAGAAATGGTGATAGAATGCGATCAGTAGAAGCCCATGTTTATCATCTGACCAGAAAATCCTGGTGAGTGATACCAAGGAAGAAGAATATGCCTGTCGGATAACAAAGCTTACAGAGCCCTTGCTGTGTTCCGTCCTGCCCTTCCTTTAGAGCTTGGAGTGGTCTCTCTTGGTGGGTGGGGTCCTCAGGGTATGCTCATGTTAGACATTTCTCTGCATCTGAGCCAGTTTCCTCATTCATAAGATCTCTGTGACCTCTGTCCCACCTGCTTCACAGCAGATCCACACTTGAACCTGCTCCTACAGCTCATGGCTCCGTGTAAATCCAGGCATGGCCACAGTGTGGCTGGTGCAGCGTCATCACCGAGTGAAGGCAGCAGCTCACTGCTTGGGTTCTCATGTCACCTTTGGTCATATCCAGGTTCTGCCTCTTAGGAACAGCGTGTCCTTGCATTGGATCTCCTCATTGGGGGAATGAGGAGAAGATGAGCCAAATGATGGGTTCCTGCAAGGGCTAAATGGTATTAAAAATGTTGAATGCTTGTAACTTTGACAAACTGGAAGAGAATTCAATAAACTGTTGCTATTTTATTTAAAACGGTTTCTCCCTGTCTTGTATTTAGAGAGTGTCTGATAGATATCTTTGTCGATATGGTAGATCACCGTAGTGGAGCATGTGTTTAGTGTGCTTCAGACTGACTTCAGACTCCAGCCCATGGGGTGTATTTATGTGAGTACAGATTCTAGACGAATCTCTCTGTGGGTCATGCCAGTGGATTGTATACAGCAGGGAGTTTCGGCCAGATGCTCACCCTCTGCCGACATCCTGCACCTCCATTTCCTCCTCGGTGATAACTGGACAGCTCAGGGCCTGGTCCCTGGTGGAGTCTATGGAAGGGGCTCAGTGGATGGAGGCTGCAGGATGCTGTGCAGGATGCTGTTTTCCACCTGCGTCTATCCACAAAGCTTTCACCTTGTGGCATTCCAGTCTATCCTTATTGATTACAGTTTTGTTGGTCCTATCAGGGACCAAAATGGAGAACATCTTCAACTATGATTGTAAATTTTTTTCTTTTTTTTTTTTTTTTTAACTTCCAGCAAATTCTTTCTAAACAATTTCCCAGTTTAAAAAGTTGATGTATAATGTACACACATTGACTCACCATCTTGAAGTGCTAAGTGGTTTTTTCCTATATTTGCCAGGTTGCACAACCATCAACACACTTTAATTCTAGACTTAAATTTCATCATCACTGTCCCACACAGACACCCCGTATTCATTTGGAGTTACTTCCTGTTTCTGCTCTTCCCAACTCCCAGGCAACCACTGCTCTGTATTGTTACGTTTCTTCTAAGCAGAATCACATGACACGTGGCTTTTTGTGTCTAGGTATTTTTGTGTAGTGTCTTACATTTAGATTCATTCCTCTTGCAGCATGTCTCCGTACTTCCTCCCTGTCTGTGCTGAAGAGTGTGTGGATATATCACATTTTGTTTAGCCACACATTCGACCCTCACACAAATCAGTGGGAGCTGAAACTTAATTAAGTTCTTTATCCGATTAAGTATTTAGTCCCGTAATTTTTACTTGTATCCAGTTTTCACATGAAATTGTCCATCTTGTAATCTATTTCCTTCAATATTTCACTTTACTTACTTTAAAGTCTTAATTCTCTTCTGTCTCTCCTTTCTCCATCAACTCTTGTTGGTCTTATCTCCTGATATTTTTGATTCAATGCCACGTATTTTTTTAAATGAAAAAAAAAATTGAAACCAGGCTCTTGTTCTTCTGGGAAAAATCTGGCTGGGATAGATTTGACCTTTGAATGCTATTCTATTTCTGATTAGCCCTTACTCTGAAGTGGTAATCTTTTAGAAGTTTTAGCTGAAAACTTTAAAAAAAATCCATCTTAAAAAATTATGATTCCTTCTTCGTGGTGATTCCTAAGCCTCTGGTGTTGTTTCTCTCAGGCTGTGAGACTACTGGAAATGAACTCTTCTGCCTCTTGGACCTTGCTTGGACTCAGCAGGTGCCTTGAAGGGATCAGAAGCCCTCAGAGAACCTCTCTTCTTTCCTCCAGCATCTTAGCTCTTCAGGTGCAGACTGTTGGTAGCTCTTATGCATCCACTCAGATTTTAAGGGAAAACGCCTCCACTTTTACACTGCTGTCCATATTAGGACTAACTGATCAGAGAGAAATTAGTTTGCCAGTGGTTGGAAGTAAATCCAGGTGTGGGTATTTGGCACGGGTAGGTAAGATACTGTTTGAGATGCCCACCTCCTGTGTTGGAGTACCTGGCTTTGAGTCTCCAACTCTGTTTCTAATTCCAGTTTCCTGTTGTTGCTCACTCTGAGGCAATGGCTCAAATACTTGGATTTTTTTCCACTCACATGGAAGACCAGATTGAGTTGCCCACTCCTGGTTTTGTGTAGTCCAGACCTAATGTGTGGCAGGTATTTGTGGAAGAAAGCAGCAACCCCTTCTCAGATTCTTTTTCCCTGGATGGTTCTGAGTGAGCTAGCCAGTTGGACTGAGAAATCGAGCTCAAGGCCCTGATTGCTGCCTGTTGTGATGGTCTACACAGCCCCTTAGTGGATTAGTGGGTGACTGCGTAAGTCAGGTGCCCGTAAACAGACAGAAATACAGAGTAAGTTGCCTAGGGGAGGTTTACTAGAGATAAAGTATTGACTTTAATGGGATTAGCATAATGAAAGCCTGGTAGAGTGAGAAGTAAGAACTGTCTAGAATACAGGCATAGCAGATTAAGGAAGCAACCACAACCATTATGACTGAGCTGGGGTGTCCAAGGAAGGGCCATGCATACACCATCCCATCTGAGACCTTGAACCTTGTTGGGAAGGACATGGCTGTGGCCCTTGATGGTAGGGATGTTTCTAAGATGATATTTTGGCAGAATGTTCCAGAAATCTCTCTAGTGATATAGGTGACATTTCCAACACAGAGATCCTGCAGCATGAGGTGGTTGGTACCACTTAGCAATGAGCAGCTTCGTCCTGGTGCCCTGCAGTTGGGGAGCACCCCCAGCAGTCACCTTTTCATGAAAGTATCCCCTTGGGGGTGCTCCCCCACTTGCAGGGCACCAGAAGGAGCTAGCTGCTCATAGCTAAGTGGTACCAACCACCTCATGCTGCAAGATCTCTGTATTGGAAATATCACACGACAGCAGCCCGAAATTGGGGAAGCTTTGTGTGCCTCAGGAGACTGCTGAGATGTGCACACCAGAACCAAGGACAGCCTTTCCTCCTTCAGGGTCTCTAGCCTTCTCTCAAAGAAGCTCAACATTGCCAGTTATGAAAGGGAAAATGCTTAAAGCGCTGAGCTCTGCTCCTGGAGAACAGGTGATGAATGACCAGTCTGGGGTCAAGTGCAGTCACTGAATGTCTCTACCATACCTGCACTGAAGAAACAGGCCCGAGAGATGTCCCTTCGCCCTTGACTCCTTGTGAGGACACCCTAGCAGGCACCATGTGTGAGGATGCAAGATGTCACCTCCCACTGGGCCTGCCTGTGCCTTCACCTGGGACTTTAACAGCCTCCAGAAATGGAGAAACATCTGTTTCTAAGTTATCTGGTTATTTTATGAATAAATATTTATTTATTATTTTTATTAGAAAGTCAGATATACAAAGAGGAGGAGAGACAGAGAGGAAGATCTTCTGTCTGCTGATTCACTACCCAACTGACAACAACAGCTGGAGCTGAGCTGATCTGAAGCCAGGATCCTGGAGCCTCTTCCGGGTCTCTCACACAGATGAAGGCTCCCAAGGCTTTGGGCCATCCTCAACTGTTTTCCCAGACCACAAGCAGGAAGCTGGATGGGAAATGGGGCTGCTGGGATTAGAACCGACACCCATATGGGATCCCAGTGCGTGCAAGGCGAGGTCTTTAGCTGCTAGGCTACCGTGCCAGGCCCCTGGTTACACATTTTGTTGGAGCTTCCCAAATGGGCTAAAGACACCGTTCATCTTGAAGACGTCTGATATTGCTGTTTGTCTTTGTGGCTTTGAATCCGACCATGACTGTTCATTGTCTTCAGGATAGAATTGGACTTCTTTGCCCTGGATATGAGGCTGTGAATGGTGCACGGCCCCTCTCCTTCCCGCCATGCCCTGACTCAGCTCTTCCCTTCATCCATTTGAAAAAAAAAAGTTTTTTTTTTTAAATTTTAATTTTTATTCACTTGATGAGAGAGAGAGAGAGAGAAAGTGAAGCCAGAGCTGAGAATTTTATTGGGGTCTCCCAAGCAAGTATCAGGGATCCAGTCATTTGAGCTAATAGTGGCCTGGCTGCTCCGCCCCAACACACAGTCATTCTGAACTCTAACCTGCACCCCTCTTGCACCCTGGATGACCCCATGTTACTCCATTTTCTATTACTAGAATAAAGTACCTGCCCTTGGGGACTTGATAAGGAAAGGAGGTTTATTTTACTCAGAGTCTGGAGGTCCAAGGGCACGGGGCTGGATCAGCACAGCTCTGGGGGGGATCTCAAGGTGGGTGGTGTCACAATGGCAAGGGAGAGGTCACATGGCTAGGTCAGAGGCCCAGGAGTGGTTGGGGTGGAAGGAAGTGGGAGGAGATGGAAGGCTGCCTCCCACCTGAGGCCAGTATTCTATTGACCAAATGATCTCCGACTACGCCCTGTCTCTTTAAAGGCCTCACCACCTCCTAACACTGATACCAAGCTTACAGTCTGTGAAGCTGTGGGTGGGGGCCACACTTACACTGAAATTCAAACCATAGTGCACAGTCACCACTTCATGCCTTAGTTCTCCTACTTGGCTGATTTTCCTCTCCTTTCTGAAGCGGTTTCCCCTCCTGCTGGCTTGGCTAATTCCTTTGCACCCTTTAGAAAATTTAGACACCATTGTCTCCAGTAAGGGTTCCTTGAATTCCTAAGTCAGTTGTGCAATTCTCATTTCTTTGCTCCTGAAACTGGAGTGAAGTTGACAGACTGCAATGTCTGGCTCCCTGGTTAACATGGGATGCTGTTGAGGTTTCTGGCATATGACTCATGGCTTCAGGTCACCCTGTATGTCTGCTCTGACAGTGCATGGATTGACTGCACAGCCTGCCCTTCTATTCCAGGAGGAGTCCATCAGAGAAGGGCAGAGTCGTGCATTCTGACTGCATATCCTTCTGTAGCGTTTCCTTTACTACTCGGCTTCTAAGCAGAGCCTTGCTGGCTTCCTCAGCAGGAGCTGACAGCATCTCCAAGAGACATTCACTGTTGATGAAGAGAGATGGCCAGACCTCACTGCTCCGCATTCACCAAGCAGGGCTGGGAAAGGCGTAAAGAGCAGAGACATGACCTGCGAGGGACCAAGGACTTTAATGGGAGGCAGCTCCTCTGCGGCCCTGGCTGTCCCAGGAGCTGGAGGCACTCCAGCAGGTGCACAGGCATGGCTCAGACATCTTCTCCTCCAGGGGAGTTTGTGAATCCGTCATCATGACTCCTGCTCACCAGCGATTCCTCGTGGAGGTCCCCAACAGTTGCACAGCTCAGGCCCACGTGGGGGCCACTCATTAGAATACTCAGGGTCTCCCCAAGTTGCATCCCTTCTTTTTTTGGGGTG